GTGTCAAGATCCTGCTGTCCCCAGCTGGTGTTTGCTCACGGGCATCGGCTCTCCCACGATTCTCCTTTCCAAGTTCAGGCTTTATGGCTCAGCTAAAGAAAAATGTCAGCACTCTGGGAAAACAGCAGGGTGGCTGGTATTTCTAGAGTGAGCAAGACATCGGAGCATGACAGGGACAGTGTCTGGTGCATCAGAAGACTCGCTTAGAGTGATTTTTTTTTCCTGTGACTCTTTCCTGTCTCCAGAATGTGCTATGTCTAAATTTCATATTGTAATTCTCTGGGTGAGACAGAGAAAACTGCAAGAGGCTCATGCCTCCCTCCCACTGGGGGAAAGACAATTCTTGGCAGCTGTTACAAAAAGAGGAGATCAAGAGTCACTAAGGGGAAAAATGTGGAAAGATCCTGGAATGAAGGACAGGGCCTCATTCACAGGCAACTCCTCCGGAAACTGAATTTTCTAAGTCCACAAATAAATGATAGTGTGGAAACACGGGCTAATTGCTGCTTTCTTTTTAAAAATTACAAAACTATTCTGTACTTATGGGAGATACTTTGTAAGGTTTGAAACTGCTTTAGTGATTATAATCAAAAACACATGGGTTCTAATTTTATTTACTTCTGTAACAATTGATGGAAAAATATCTGATGCATTTTCCTTATTCTTAGTTGCAAGGCATGTGTACCTGTTGGGCGTGGGAGGTTCTGGAACAGTCAGGACAGGATGTAGGGGGGCTGTGGCATGGAGGAGAACAGGTAAGAGCTGTCTTTAGAATCAGACAGACGTGGTTCTGACTCCCAGCTCTGTCTTTAGAGCTGTGTGACCTAGTACAAGTCACTTAACTTGTTCAAACCCCAGTTCTTTATCTGTAACATAACAAGAGTATTCCCATCAGAGCTCATTGGGAGGATTAAGAGAGATAATATAGAATGTCCGTAGAAGCCGGAAGTGTAGACGATATTCCTTTTTGCAGATTGAAGATGTCTTTGTTGACTTCTTGTCCCAGGATTATGGTCACCCTGCACGTGTGAGCACTTATCCCTTGGCATAGAGCAAGCACTCCATAAAATGCTACCTATTATTAGTAAGGTGGCAAAATGAATGCACCTTAGGATGAAGAGGTATTCTGCCTCTTTTTAGTAATGGGAATATAATTAGTTCTTTGGGGACTGCCAATGGAATTACTGGCAAATGATTTGTACATTAATATAAGAGAGGGAAAAAGTGATGCAAACCTCAGCCATGCTCTGGAAGGTGGCTGCTCCTTATGGGTGTTTAGTTCTGCAGGTCCTTGCTATGGATGGAGAAGGCAGCCCTTTTGTTTCCCTGAGACTTGCAGTGTGTCTGGAGTCAAGTTGGAGCGTAAGACTAGAGAGCGCTGAAGTCGTCTGGGAGATGCAGGGAGAGGCGTCCTTGGGGAAGAGGCAGTGGCAGTGAACAGAGGAGCTGGGAGGAAAGGGGCAGGGTGACTTCAGCTGACACTGAAGTATATCTGACGTCCATCCAGGACAGTTCACAGGTGCATCTCGGTGTCAATCCCTACTTTACAACCGAGCCAGGAGTGCGTGCTGCCAGTGAGTGCCAGATTGTAGATCCATAATGCAGGGGGCTGTAAACAGACCTAGCACGGGCTGTGATAGACCTTGGAATAGCATCTAGAGTGAAAATAAAGTTGTGGAAATGTCTTTGAAATCAGCTTCTCCATGATCAAGGGCAGTAGGAGGTTTAAAACCAAAGGTTTTGGATAGAAACACAGACAGAAAGCCAGGCAAAAAGGTCCCTGGAGGTTGGCAGGTAAACCAGATCCCCAGACAGATTAAACGTTGAAGGTTTTTTTGAAAGGACAACAGAGGATATTGAAGGATTTGCTTGGTCTAATCAAAGATTCTCAAGGCTGTCCATTTCTTCAAGCAGAGTCTGCTACAGGCTAAGCTCATTCTGGGCGCCAGTGATGAGTCAAGTGGCCCCAAGCTCTCAGAAGTGAGTATTATCTCAGGAAACTGTGGGTAGGGCCTGGGAGGACATTCGGAATGGAGGCTGCACTGTGCCGTGCAAATGCTGCAGGAGGGGCTGCCTGAAGGAGGAAAAATGATGGAGAGTGATGGGGTCAGTGGACCCTCGTATTACCGGCTACCTGGTCTCAAGCCCCTCGGGGTCTGTGGCCAACTGCTTAACAGGACTGCAACAGATTCTGAATGATGAGTCCAAATTTTGACCATGCTCCATCAGAAAGGACCAGAAAACATTGCACATGTAGAGAGATTGGAAAGATCTTTGCAGAAAAGCACAGAAAGTTGGCATTGAATGGAGAAAGGAGGAAGCTCAGTAAGAGTAAGGGGTTCCTGGGTTTATTAGGAAAGAGATTATGCTCTAGAGCCCTGACTACTTACAGGACATGGGGGCCCACTGCATCCCCACTGTTAGAATAGTTAACTTGGGAGGGAACACAGGAGAAGCTGGGGCAAGAAGGAAGCATCACTTACGCTCATAGAACAGCCAGAATGAGCTTGGGGAGACAGAGCTGCCTTGGTGTGGCCAAGTAGGCCACGCCTCCCACCATCCCCTGCCCAGGCACTGGGTCAGGGACTACGCCCACATGTTGGCTACTGGCATGAGATCACCAGCCAGACAGTCCTCATCACCAAGTTGTCATCAGTGGGAGGAGACTGAGCTTGCTCCTGAGATGCGCAGGCGTGCCGGCGCTGGCCAGTGTCCTGCCCAGTTCTGGAAGTGAGTGCTCACGGGGAAAGCTGATAGGAAATACCTTTGCACTCAATGACACAGAAACCCAACCTTCTGCTTGGGTAGAAAAGAGATATTTTTCTTGGCAAACTGTGTCCATGTAGAGAATCTAACACAGTTCATGAAAAAGCAACGTCCCTAAAAAGGATGAAGAAAGGAGAATAATGCCAGAGCCAGCCTGACCCTCTGAAAAAATTGGCCATCCTTAGGAACGTTTCTCTCCCATTTCTGTAAGCAGAACACTCTGAAGGCAAGATTACAGAGCACCAGCATCCTGTTTTCTTCCTCACTACGCCCCAAGCATGATAGAGTCAGAGACAGAATATGCTCTGGAAGTGGAAGATAAGGATGAAATCAGATTCTTATAAACGGTATCATTCATTCCTTTTTCTCTGGGTTTTGCCATGGCCACGCTGTAGCCTGAATGGTTCAAGAAGAACAATCTTGAGTAGCTTTTCTTTCTTTTTCCAAATAGGCTTATTTATTACCAAGAAAAGAGAGCAGCCAAAAAGTACAACCTTATTTCCACCATAGCCTATTCTCAGACTTCCTTTTAAGGCCAATCAATGTGTTTTCAATAAAATTTCAAAACTATTCATACTTTTCCCCCCATATACTAACATGGTGATTGCAACCTACATGTCAATGGCTTGAATATTGTATTTCTTACTCTGACCTCTCTTCCGAGTCTGGGTCCCATTGCCCAGACAACAACTACACTTGTAATTTCAAAATTTTCTTAAACATAGTACTCCAAATTGAATTCTAGTTGCTACCCACACCTAAACTTGGACTTTTTTAGTATATATTATTTTAGTGAATAGCATGATTTTACACCAAGCAGCATAAACTAGAAATCAGGGAGCCACTTTTCCTACCCATCTCTCTAGCCTTCCTAAATAAACCTATCACTAAATCTTGAATTTAATTCTTTTTTTTTTTTTAATGAACATTCTTATCTCTATTAAATCGAGGAGAAAAACTCAGGCATGCCTGAAGCTTCTCCATTCTGCCTTCCCAACTCACAGATTTGTCGAGATGGGAATTCCATCCCAAGCCCAGCAAACTCTGGCAGGACACTCTGCTGGGACCCTCAGCCCCACTATTACAGTTTCAAAGTCCCTGGTGTTTGGACTACCATTCTGGCTTCGTTGCCATGCCTCCTTTTCAACCCCAGTTCTCCTTTCTTCAAAGCCAATAAAGATACTCTCATCGGCTAAGAAGGTGTGACCCCCGTTGAAATAAAAGCCAGAACTTTGATTCATCTAAATCAGTGGTGTTTTGGAAACTCTTAAGCACAAATGAATTATCAAAATGATGGCAGAGATGAGGGGTGTGTGTGTGTTACTGATATATAGTGACAGTGGGGACAGGATGTTTTAGCCCTGTACAATGAAAAGTTGCCAAACCTTCTGCTCCACTTTCAAATATTTCCTACTGAATATTTCCTACTCATACAGGTTATAAAAATCATATTTATGATCATATGAAACTAGAATTATAACCTTTCTAAAAATACATATACCCTTTTATGTATAAACATGAAGCAATTTATATAGTTTGAGTGATGCTCTATTTTTCAGGAATATGGTATAAACCAAGGGAAGGCTGTACTTTGTTTCATTTGGAACTTGATCAGAAGTTGCTCCCAGTTAAAACATGGCACCACCAGTTCCAACACAGCTGGTGGTATTTCCTGCGCCAGTGCAGCTCAGCAGGCCCTAGGTCTGTGTTTGCAGCTCTCTCTCGCATTCACGGGCGACTCTGCATCTGGTTGGTAGGAGTCCTCAGGCCTGAGCGTCTGGCTATTGAAATACACCTCATGTTATTATTCGTTACTTGCCTTTTACATGCTTTATGTTGTGGTTCGTCCGTTTTATGAGCTTGAAAAAAATTCTGTGTCTGGCTAGGTTGACTTTTCTTTTAAGATAGTAAAGGGCACATTATAAGAGACCCATTCGAAGAGGCATTGGCGCTGGTTTGATAGGGCTGAGACTGGCTGGCCAAGAACTTCTAGAAGGCCCATCAGGGTTCTTTATGGCTAGAAATGATTTGCTTTATCAGCAAGATAAAGCAAGATACCTTTATCAGCAAGACACCTTCTATTTACAAGAAGGTAATGGAAAGGCATTTACCCTTTTTCTTGGACTTCCTGTCTCTCCTCCTTCCCTCCCCCACTCCAAATTTGCATTGCTGCTCGCTGTTGCAAAATGGGACAACAGCTTTAGCAACTCAGTAAACGTCCTTGTTGGAATCAATGAACAGGCCTTGCTGATTTCCTGCCTCGGTCCTTTCATGACAAGAAGGAGTTTTCATGCTTTCCTCATCTATATTTCACCCCTTGTGTTGTGGCACCCGTGTGGGGGTCAAACAGCTGGACCGCAGCTGAGGGCATGAAGTTCACGCACTTTGAAAAATGTAGAAAATCTATATATTTGACAGGTAAGCTACCACCACCCCCTGATTTCCTGTGGGCTGATATAGATAATGGTACATTAAGGGATGCCTATATTTTGCTTCTCATTTGGAGCCTTTCAAACAAAACCATTGCTGCTTTTTAGTTTTACCCTCCTTGCCAGATTTAAATTTTATCTTTGATTTAAGCTAACATCCTACCTCATTTCTGCTAGTGCTATGACTATTTTGTGCAGCGTCTAGGAAGTGCCTGGTGAGATAAATAGGAATGTATATCTACAATTTCGGTTTCATAGAAATTGGTGCTTTTCTCCTGTTAAAACTATTGCCACAGTATTTACTCGGTTTTCCAATTATAATTTTGATCTTCATGGTAGAAGTTTAGATCTTGTGGCTGGAAAGGCAGATTTTCACCTCATTTCTCTTCATTTATGTCCATGTTGTATTATTTCAACATAATCACACTGGAGTCGAATGATTTATGTTTATAGTATGCCATTTATATTTGAAAATGTGCATATAGATATTGCAATAATTCTAATAACTGCATTTCACTCTATTCTCAGTGGCAGGAAAGTGTAATATTCCACCACATTGAGTTACAAAAGCTACATAATGTAATCTTACTGGAACATTTATTCAGCGCCTAATCTGTGCACTGTCAAAAATTTTTCATTGTTATTGGAAAATTAAGACTGTAACAAGCCTCGCATTGGTATATACGTAACTGTTTTACATTTCCAGTAGTTAAAGCTAACATAATAAATAATTCATTTTTCTGTCTTTGTTAGAGTAATGACTCAAAAAAAATCTAGGAGATTTACATTCATATTTGAGTTTTGCTAATTGCACAGAACCATAGCTTTCAAAAGAGGTTTAACATATGTTCTTATATCTCTTTTTGAGGCACAGTGCCATACTACAGACAACCAAAGCTGTCTATGTGAGATATTCTAAGCATTTGCTCTTTGGGGCAGATGAAATCAATTATGCTGAGGGAGGCTCCATTCTGGAGTTGGCAAAATAGATCTTGGGGTCTGACAAATTTTCCAGGATATCAGAAGATCCTGTAGTGACTAACATCCCCTTCCAATGACTACACAATTGTTCTGGTTACTATCGCAGAGTAACGAGTTACCTCGTGGTTTCTGTGGGCCAGGAACGCAGGGAAGGGCTTGATCAGGCAGTTCTCTCTATAGATGCGGTTAGACAGTGGCCGGAATCCCCCACTCCCAGTGGGGCATCTGGGACGTCCAGGGGCTGGACAGGCATTCTCTCTCTCTCTCTGTGCCTGTGGCCCAAGGTGTCTTCACCTGCTCTCTCCCTGTGGACTAGCTTGGGCTTCCTCACAGCCTGGTGGCTTTGGGGCAATTGGACTGCTTTTATTATGGCAGCTGAGGGGTCCAGTGTCAGTTTTGTAAGAACGAGGCAGAAGCTGCCTGCCTTTTCCAGTCTGGCTCAGAAATCACAAAAGTCACTTTTGCCTCATTGGTTGCAACCAGGTCAAAAGCCTGCCCAAGTTCAAGGGGAGGGGACACAAACCATACTTCTGCACAGGAGGCGTGTCCATGACACAGGGTAGGAGAGGATGTGGCTGTGCACTTTGGCACCAGGCTCACAATCCCTCTCCACTGTGAAGCCCTGTGGCAGCTGCTTTTTCTTTTCTTTTCTTTTCTTTTTTTCTTTTTTTTTTCTTTTCTTTTCTTTTCTTTCCTTTCCTTTCCTTTCCTTTTTTTGTGTGTGTCCTATCCCACAGCAATATGGGAGCTGTTTTTGCACAGAGCTGAGAGCCTTTGCTTCTGCCACTCCAGCCCAAATGGCATTGAATGCATCCAAAAATGACAGCAAACTTCTGAAGAAGAGGCCTTCAGGCAGTTTACTATCTTTGGCAAAAGACCAGAACTCTGTGTCTGTGATCATGTGTAAGTGATCACACATGACATGGTGCAGCACCATCTTTCAATGGGGCTGAAATAGATTTTCCATAATTTTCTCTATGAATATTGATACCAATTTCATAGCAGTGAATAGATGTAATTGTGTGGAATGGGTTAGACAGAAATTTACAGAAAGTATGTAAAAATTAAATATGCCACATTTAAAAACAACTAATATCAATGTTCTGACACTTTCCCCTCTGTCCTGCATCATTCATTTATTCATCAAAAATACGGATGCATCCGTGTGCTAGTCACTGCGCTCAACGCACCTGGCTGCCCAGGATAAAATTGCGGGAGTTGTCTGATTCCTGATTGTTTCCATACCCTGAAAATCCTATTGAGACTTTAAAAAATAATGTCTGTATTAATTTGGAGTCTTTCAACTGCAAGTGTCAGAATTCAGTGGCTTGTATAACTTGGATAACCAGGGTGGCACAACTGGCTCCAGGAACCACAGTGGGGTTGCCAGTTCTCTCCCTGTCCTCCTGTCTCTTGGTTCTGTCCTGCATGTGGGTTGGCCTCATTCCCATCTGCCACCCATAGATTTCCCCAGCACTGAAGGCGGCAGCTGCTATCTTCTACCTCTGTGCCAGAAATGGCAAGGCTTCCGTTCCTCCTGTTCTAGACTCAGAATTCTATGGGCTTGGCTTGTGTTCTGTGCCACCACCCCGGAGGCAGTCCCTGAGGCCTTTGTAATGGGGATGGAACTGCCGGTGCAGAAGGAGAGGTGCTGTGCAGAGAACGCTCACAGCAGATGCAGTGGCTCTCAGACTCGCCTCTTCTTTCTGTTCGAATCGCTATGGCCTTGATGCCCGGGCTAGTCTTGCTGCCTCTGGCCTCACCTAACTGTGGTTCAGATTATATCCCATCAGTGGATTTGTCTCCTCAGCACGTCCCTTTAGCACGCCGCTCCTCTTCTTAGAAACCGTCCAAGAATCCCCTGTCCTCCGGGATGCAATCCCCACCTCGCGTGACAGCCAGCCTGGGGCCTTCGTCCCGCTGGAATCTGCCCACCTGCCAGCCTTCCCTCCCACTCCTTCCCTTCACACGCTCTCCTCAGCCCCACGCTCTGGTTCCCTCTCAGACTGCAATATTCCGGCCCCTGCGCCCTGCTCCCACTTTTCCTGACCCAGAAGGCCCAGCTTGCCTCCGTTTCTGAGTCTTACGTGTCACTAGAGATCCACTCGAGTCCCTCCCTCTGCAGAAAGCCTCTCTGACCACCTCACACCAGAGAAAAGGGCGGGTCCTTAGTTCCCCAGCTAAATCCTATAATTCCACACACTTTCTCACAGAACTCATTTCCCCCTCTCTAATTTTGTTTGTTCTCTCTTCTTTTTTCTTTTTGACTCTATATTTGAGAAGTCTAACAAAGTGTCCATGAACAGGGCAGGAAAGGCCCACGTGTCAGGCCCTCCAGGGACTCCACGCAGAGCAAGCTCACTCCAGCCTTCATCACGGATTCTGTGAGAACATGAACGGATTCGAGGGGGAGGGAGGTTGCCCTTGACCTCATCTGCCGAGTGCCCTGGCAGGCTCCTTGGAGACAGAGGGTCTGGGTTGCGTGGGCAGCTCCAGCCCAGGGCGAGCCTGAGACACAGAACTAAGTAGCCGCGAGATCCAGAGGAGGGAAGCTCAGACAATTTTACCATAATTTCCTTTCAAAATGTGAAACAATGAAAGGTCAGGAAGGACATTTGACAAATGAAAGAGAATACGTTGTTAACAATTCTTCATTTAAGTTAGCAAACTTGGATAAGGGGTGCTTTGATGGATTTAAGTATTCCTTTGGAACATTTTCTTCTGCTATAACAATCCATTCCATTGTGTTACAAAGTAATTATAATCACCACTTAGCATCCCAAGTCAGAGCAGGAGAAAAGAAATATTAAGAGCGAGAAGTGTCAGAAGTATATGCTGGCTTTCTGCTTTTTAAGACCTAGAAAGCAACATCTCTTTATACCGTGATCAGTGGAGCAAACGCTCACAATACTGGTAGTGTGATTGTATTCGGAAGATGTGCCATAGAGAAGTTTAACGCTGAAAAGGAAAGGGCTCAGTGGAGGACCCAGCTGGCAAAGGAAAGTGTCTCCCTGGTCAAGAGCAATTTGTGACGGAGGAAAACAGAGACACGAGCCTGGAGCCTCCGTTCAAAGAGCAATTTCACCACCAGGGAGGAGTCCTGGGAATCTCGCTTGGACAATGCTCCTGCCTTTGAGGGAGACGGGGTGGAAGGGCAGAAGCCAGGGCCAGGCCAGTGGCTTTCACAGACCTGGAAGGACAAGAGACCATGATTTGATACAACCAGAGAGCAAATTGTGGACCAATTCCACATTCTAGCGTAGGAATGAAGTTCCACGAAATGCCAGGGAAGAAAACAAAGGCACATGCACGCCAAGGTGTCACATCCATTGAGGAGGAAGGAAAAGTGTCTGTGGTTGTGGGGTAAACAAATGCTGTCTGCAGGCTGAGACTGACCAGAATGTGCCAGATCCTAGAGTACAGTTCTCACACACAGAGTGTGTAGTCTAGATGTTTTCTCTGGTATAAACTTCTTGCATACAATTTCTGCAAAAGTATTTCCCCCATGTTCTGAGAATTAATAAAGCTAATAATTGGGGGCAGGATTCATGAAAGATAGCACAGAGAATGGAGCCCAGCAGCAATCCATTGTGGAATAGAAGCGATACCCTGGGGATCTAGCCCAGGCAGGTCTGGAAGGCACATGTGAGTTACATGGAAAGGTGGCCCAGACTCCCACATCACACACCTCATTGCACCTGAACTTTGCCTTCAGTTCACACATATGTGCTCTTGAGAACCACCTTTAGCCAAATAAAAAAAGGGGAAAGAGCTTAGGCAGACTTGCTGGCACACTGGCATTGCATTTGTGCTGGCAGAGCGGACAGCTGCTGCATTGCAGCCTCGCTCGGGGGCTCTGAAGGACTGCAGGGCTGTTCTAGTGTACAGAGATCCCAGCAGCTGTGTGGCTGTTCACTTCTAATGAGTGCAGGTTATAAAGGGACTCCTGGTCAGTGGCAATGGTCAGGTTGGGTGGCCAGAAGCCTGTAAGGAATAAGATTGCAGTAT